TTCCGAAGGTATTCAATGCAAACAGATTTCACACTCTCTTGTCAAAATTGTCAAAATCAACAAAATACCATTCAAATCAAACAAGGTTATATTGATGTTGATACAGGCATAATGATTTACATTCCTCTCACTCAAGAAAAAACAATGAAACTGCCATCATCTAGTTCCTCTGCCAGCATTTCAACTGTTGTCAAAATATTCGTTGAATTAACTGATACTCATACAGGTGAATTCAGAATTATGTATTACCATGTTACTGTGATGCGTGTTGTTGTAACTACAATTACACAGATTGTTCATCAAGTTAATACCCAAACCAATACAATCATGTCATCCTTTGTTAAAGATGGTGATTCTAGTCAAAGTATTTCACAAACAATTAATACCATTGTTGCAACTACTCAAATGTTACAAGCTTTACCTGAATCTGAGAAGAGTTCCACTACTATAACTAATATTCAAACAACTTTATTAGATATTTTGGCCAATGCAACTGAAACTACTTCAGAAGAAACAATCTCAAAGTCAATCTCATCAATGATTGTCTTTGCTATTCACACCATGTTAAAGAATGAGCACAATATTGGACAAGCTGTAATTGAAAAATCAGTGAATGCTCTTGAAAATATTGTGGAACAAAATTTCAGAAGCAATGTTGGTGTTTCATCTCAGACCTCTCAAACTTTCATGTCAGTTGTTGAAAATCTAGTCTATGCCTCTCAAAACATTGCAAATCTGAAAGATCAATTCACAAGAGACGAAGAAATTTCTGCACTTACTGAAAAACTTGCTCTCGCAATTGTAACAGGAGAACCTGTAAGTGCGAGGGTTGTAGTATTAAACAGTGGTGTTTCGATTGTAAAGGCTGATAAGGAATATTTTAAATATCTTTCTCAATCAGTGATTGGCTCACCATCCTCAGCAAATAGAAAATACCAAGCAAATATTGTTAATATCACCGTGCCAGATATTCTAGTTAGTGATAGTAATCCACTTGGTTCTGCAACTTATTCAGTTGTGGTTAAGGAAAACATTCCAATTATTGTACAAAAGTTAATTAATCAACAGGATGAAAATTCCCCACTGGTCGTTGTTTCTCCAGTTAGTACAAGTTTCACTGTTCAATCCAACACAACAGCTGTTGATTTGGGACAAAATATTACATTCCACATTCGTGTTTCTAAAGATGATTATACCATCTTTGATATTTCTTCCTATTCATGTGTTAGAGTTCAATCTGATCTAGGAAATGATTACTCCTCTTGTTCAATTTCTGGTTATAATAATGCCTCTTCAACTATTGATTGTAATTGTATATTCTCAGATTTATTCATTTCTAATGTGATAGTTGTGAAAAACACTTCCCTTAGAACATTACAAGCTTCCAATACGACCAATCTCACCACTCATATCATTATTATTTCAGCAGTCATTGGTGGAACCTGTTTAATTTCGGTTACTTGTTTCTTCATTGCACTAGTTGCTGTTGTTATTTATTGTATTAGGGGTTGTGGAAGAAGAAAAACTAGGCCACACGAAGAGAAGGATAATTCCTCAGATGGTGCAGAAATGGTTATTCGTATACCTATTGCTCAAATGATTTCTCTTCCCTCGCAAAGTCCATATCAGGAATCAGCCAATACAACTTCAACACAAAGTCAAGGTAGTACTACTGCACGGATGTTGGTATAATAAATTGTTTGTTTTGTACAAGGTTTGGTTAGGATTCAGAGTTGATTTATTTGGGTTATTTAAGAGATTACTTAGTGAAGATTTATATCATTGATTATATTTCTTATGATCTATAAATGATGTAAATTTGATGTTTTCATTTCTTGTATTGATAGATATTTAAAGGTCAGGTCAGTACTAACTTTTGAATTATGGACTTTGAAAAGTCAAATGTTTGGGACGTGAATCTACTCATTAGATTGAATAGGTATTGCTAATAAAGGAACATTTCATTGATTTATTGATTA